ATTGTTATATGAACAGTTGATGTTGTAGCATGATTTATGAAAACATGTCTTTAGAAGCATAAGCATTTACACAATTCTTTAAGTTCTCATAAAAGAATGTTCATGGATCATTGTGTTTTCTGTTTTTATAAAAACCTTTGCATGCCATAACTTTGTTTTGAAGATGTTTTGCAAACTCCCCCTTTCCCCACTCCTGAGTATTTCAGCTCACCCCTTTTTTGGAAATGTTTTTCCCCCCACCAGGACCTCCCGAGATCGTGCCGAGTAGTGCACCTCCGCTCAGGATTGTGCCACGCGTTGACATCTTTTATGTGGGTTTTATATTTACGTCGCATTGTAAAATTTGGACTTTCGTTTCAAGAACTCATGTTTTCCTTCATATATTTCCTTTTGTTTCATGTTTTGGAATGTGTAGTATAAGTGAAAACCTGATACTACAATTTTCCCTAACTCTTTCCTTTTGTAAAACGAAAGATGATGCATGTCTTTTTTTTTTGAGATGTTGGAAATGGAAATACTATGATGTTATTCAGGAAAGTATGTCTTAAACAAGTTTCGCAGTTTTTCTACATACACGTCTCGGGTATCTGAGTCTTGTGGGAGCGCTCGATCCTAGGGATGAGGAAATTCGGGGACGGGTTGTGTCAATTATAACCTTCGAACTGGAGTCAATGGTAGAATCGTTCAGATTCGTCAACATTAAACACTTATTGATCTTTTTGCCATTTTATACTTAGCCATGAGACGGAGAGCATTTTTCTGTGTCATGGTAATACCTGGTAGAACATCGAAATCTAAGCCTTCTCTTCATCCCAGGCACAGTTTCCCAATCAAACTTGCAAAGAAGATTAGCAAGTGCAAGGTCCCCAATCGCAATTCCCATAGATAACCTGGACAAATTCTTCAACCAGCTCCGAATGGTATTAGCTCAAAGTGTTCCCTTAAGTCAATCGCACTCCCTATGAATCTCTGGGGAAAATTCATCTGGATTCTCCCAAGCTTCACGGTCCCTTCCTATAGCTCATATATTCACAAGAAAGATGTTTTAGCCGGTATTTCATACCCCTCTATGATGCACTTTTCAATTGTTTCTCTTGGATTAAAAGGGAACTGTTGGTTGCAGTCTCTTTGTCTCTTTCACTACGGATTTAAGATAAGGAAGATTCTGGACATCATCTTCATCTACAAAACCTTTGTTTCCAATTGCGACCTAATTTCTCTTGAACTTTCTTCATTATTCTAGATTTTTCATCAGGTAGGTCATAGCCAACCACGGTAGCTGCACTGGTGTCTGTGCCAGCAACAAATACATTCTGCAACAAGAAAAAGAAAATAACTAAATGAATGAAAAATATAAATTGTTTTTGAAGCTAATTAAAATATACATAATATGAAAACTAATTAAAATTGAGAATTTTTGCTTATGAACAGAAATATAATACCATGAGCACTGCTTTGATGTGATCCGAGTGAGGTCAATTTTAAATCCACGCTCTTTTCGTACTTGCAGTAGAACATCAATTAATCCTCTTGAACATTTTTAGGTTTGTTGGATCTAAGTGCCCTCGATGACTCTTGGTAAAACTTGCCAATTCCTTAAAGTTGTTATCGAGACGACGTATCATTCCTGTGAGTTTGTCAACCCAGACAACGAAGAAAAATAATCTGTAAAAAAGAAGCTTCAAACAAGGCTTGAGTTCCTTAAGTAGAGCATGAAATCTACTTCTTTCAATTCCTTCTTCCTCGTAAACCAGCTCTGCAAGTAATGGTACTTGTAAGAGACATCATGTGCTCACTCAAGTTGATTGGTCTAGAAGCAACAATAGCTTTAGATATGTTTTCCATTAAACGAGAAACTTCATCTTCTCGAATGGGACGAATTGTTGCACTCTATGGATTTGAAGAGATGAAACGCATATTTTTTTATCTCTCTCCAGTAATCATTGTAGGGTGAAAATATTAAGTCTAAGCCATTGTAAATAATGTTTGCTGGCCATGTAAGGCAGGTCTACTACAACATACCAGATCCTTGTGTCTTCAACACCTCTTTAGCTATTTTTGCTGATGAAACTAATTGGTTGGCACCGAACCGAGACGCAAGGAGATGAGTGGGCCATACTTTTGAAGAGTTTCCACACTTTCTATGGTTTGAACCATCAAACTGGTGCCATTCCGCAAGCGAAGACCCCAGGGCCAGGTGGCAACGAATACTTTTGTGGGTTTTTCTCTTTTGGAGAGAAAAGAAGAGGAGATAGGAAGAAAGAGAAGGATGTTATCAATGCCATTGTGTTGTATGTTTCAATCATCCAGTAATGCAAAACCAGAACCTCAATAAATAGACTTCAGAGTGATCAACATTAGATATCAATGTATTTCATCTATATTAAAAGCTGTTAGGTCAAATTATTTCAATCTTACTATTATGTTCTATATTTTTATCAATAAAAAATTGTTATCAAATTCAGTGTATCTATTATTAAATATTCAATTTTTTCAGTGTGTGAATTTTATATTTTTTAATTAATTTGTGGAATCTTTATCAAATAGTTATAGTATCATGCTTCTACTACTGTTTCAAGTTATCGATCGGTACCATAAAAACTTTTTACATATGTTTGGCCGAAAGGGCTTCAATTTTCAATCCAATGAGCAATAGCTGGACAGGCTCCTTTGGTTTAACCACGTCTCTTAAAATCACCATCTCCAGGCTTCAACTCAAATTATTTACGAAAAAATTTCAGTATAATAAAGAATTGTCATCTGACTCCGAGATTAATAAATAATTACGATAATGGATATTATATTTTATACATTATTAATTTCAAATCAACTCGTGCCGTCGGATTGGCTACCACGTGGTGATCAGTTGCAACTTCAATATGGGCGTACAGCTTACAAATAATAATAGTTTTATATATGGAAATATTAACCTAATCAATTTATTTCAAGACGAGATTTCAGACTAATTATTTAAAAAATGTTGTCGATAACAATGAGTGTGCATTTAATTTATAATGAAATGGACAAATTAAAGTAATTTCATGGTTCTTCTTACTTTGGGGAAGATTTTTTCCAATTAATTATACTCAAAAATTTCCATATATAAAAAAAAAAAAAAATGAATGATATTGTTCTGAATAAGAATAATATTACATTAACAAAGACTTTATATGAAGTTATCTATACAAAGTGATATGATATTACCATTGAATTGCTAACACATTACTTTGTAGGAAGGTCTTTTAGACTATGTAAAGTTTGTGTAAGTGCAATATTATTCTAAAAATAAATAGATTATAGATTGTTAGACGATGGGATACAGAGACAAATCCGAATGGCATGTGCAATAATAATCAACATATCTTTATAAAAAAAAGACGTGTATTAGGTAATACATCAGTTCCAATTTTTGACCATATCTTTATAGAAAGAAAATAAAATGTCATTGGAAGAGAAGAATAAGTTAATGGACAATTTGACAATGGGAATGGAAATTTTTTGTCATGTACAATGCTGTCAAGAAACGGATTAAAGCAGTTGAAAAGTTAGTAAAAGATAAAAGGCGCATGATAATAGAGAACAGCTGGATATATTCCTTTGATTTTATTGATTGATTAATGATAAAATACATGCATATAGTATATAGATGTGCAAATTATTCTTATAATATCACATATAACAAAATATCTTTCTTGAATTTAGCTTTCACACGCAACAATAACCGCTGAAATGATTTGTCGTTGATGCTGACTTGGGTTGCCAACAAAGACTTTGGCTGCTGATTGTACAATTCTTTTTCTTTGATTCACTCAAACTCATACACCCCTTCAAGCTTAATTGCCTAGGATATAACTTTGCTTCTTGAGAATTCAAAATGTTCTACTGTAATCTTTACTGGATTTTCTGGCAAAATGTTGTTGTTGGCAGCTTTTCCATTTCCATCGTTATATAAATCAGACAACAATCTATTTAATGGTGTCGATGATGATGATAGATTCACTGTTGGTGATGGCCAACATTATTGTTATCCATGACTCAATGGTGACACGCGACTGTTTTATTCTATTAGTATTATTTAAATAATTTTAATATTTACAAAAATATTTATTTTAACAATTTTTTTTTTTTTTTTTTTGAAAAGTTTGGTTTATTGCAGTTGCAGATAAAACCCGTGGGTGGTATGGTATGTGATTAATTTTGGTTTAATAGTGCAGAGTTCTCCCTACTTTTAATATTGCCCTCTCTCCTTCCAAGTTCCAACCCAACTAAACAGGGTTTAGTTTTAAAATAGTCCTCATAATCCCTTTAATGCTATCCAATCCCGTGAACCAAACATACTCTATGCGGACAAAAAAAAAAAAAACTTTTTTTCATTATCATTAATAACATAGACGTTAGCATCTACATAAAACAATTAAAAATATCATTATTATAGACATTGAATTGTAGTCCAGTGCTATTGGAAGGTTTAGAAGCACCATTTTGACATAAATTAAATATGACACAATTTATGAGCTATTATATCCAAGGATTTTGGGTGGTTGAAATTCAATATTACTTGCATAGTTAATGTATTTTTGAAAATACTATAATTAAGATGTAATCTTAACCATTCAAATGTTTTAATCTAAAGGCTCAAAAAGAGTAATACTACACTTATAAAAACTCTATATAAAATCTTTCATACAAAGTGATGTGTGAAAATATAATTTGATGAATTAATATAAAAATTAACTTAATAAATACATATTAAATGATAGTGAATTATTTTTGTATTAATTCATCAAAATGTTGAATAATTTGTGATCCTAGATGCGGAATTGACAAACTGAAGGGATAAAAAAAATTAAAGAAAAAGCAAGAAACTTACCTCCAACCATTGATACTCTTAATCATACTCACTATTTTCTCTCGCGTTTTGGCTCTTTTAAGCTCTCAGAATAGTCAATATAATAATGTATTCTATTTTATTTTATAAGATCTCCATATAATGAGTATGATTTTTTATTTCACTTTGTACAAAGATCTCCATATAAGTATAATATTCTTGAAAGATGTATACATATTGTCGGACATCGGTCACATAAACTTGGATAAATTATTAAAAACTTATTTATTAGTAACACCACCCCACTAAAAAAAATATTGAAATAGTACTATTATAACCTTCGAACTGGAGTCAAGGGTACAATCATTCAGATTCGTCAACATTAAACACTTGATTGATCTTTTTGCTATTAATTATAGTACTTAGCCATGAGACGGAGAGCATTTTTCTTGTGCATGGTAATACCTGGTAAAACATCGAAATCTAAGCCTTCCTTCTTCATCCCAGGCACAGTTTCCCAATCAAACTTGTAAAGAAGATTAGCAAGTGCAAGGTCCACAATCGCAATTCCCATAGATAAACCTGGACAAATTCTTCGACCAGCTCCGAATGGTATTAGCTCAAAGTGTTGCCCTTTAAAGTCAATCGAACTCCCTATGAATCTCTCGGGACAAAATTCATCTGGATTCTCCCAAGCTTCAGGGTCCCTTCCTATAGCCCATGTATTCACAAGAACGAGTGTTTTAGCCGGTATTTCATACCCCTCTATGATGCACTTTTCAATTGTTTCTCTTGGGATTAAAAAGGGAACTGTTGGTTGCAGTCTCATTGTCTCTTTCACCACGGATTTAAGATAAGGAAGATTCTGGACATCATCTTCATCTACAAAACCTTTGTTTCCAATTGCAGACCTAATTTCTTCTTGAACTTTCTTCATTATTCTAGGATTTTTCATCAGGTAGGTCATAGCCCAAACCACGGTAGCTGCACTGGTGTCTGTGCCAGCAACAAATACATTCTGCAACAAAGAAAAAGAAAATAACTAAATGAATGAAAAATATAAATTGTATTTTGAAGCTAATTAAAAGATACAGTATATATGAAAACTAATTAAAATTGAGAAATTTTGCTTTATGAGCGAGAAATATAAATACCATGAGCACTGCTTTGATGTGATCCGAAGTGAGGTCAATTTTAAATCCACGCTCTTTTCGTACTTGCAGTAGAACATCAATTATATCCTCTTGAACATTTTTAGGTTTGTTGGGATCTAAGTGCTCCTCGATGAGCTCTTGGTAAAACTTGTCAAATTCCTTAAAGTTGTTATCGAGACGACGTATCATTCCTGTGAGTTTGTCAATCCAGCCAATGAAAGGAAAATAATCTGTAAAAAAGAAGCTTACAAACAAGGCTTGAGTTTCCTTAAGTAGAGCATGAAATCTACTTCTTTCAATTCCTTCTTCCTCGCATCTCTTTCCAAAACCAACTCTGCAAGTAATGGTACTTGTAAGAGACATCAAGTGCTCACTCAAGTTGATTGGTCTAGAAGCAACAATAGCTTTAGATATCTTTTCCATCATACGAGAAACTTCATCTTCTCGAATGGGACGAAATTGTTGCACTCTGTTTGAGTTGAGGAGATGAACAACACATATTTTTCTTATCTCTCTCCAGTAATCATTGTAGGGTGCAAATGCTAAGTCTAAGCCATTGTAAGATAATGTTTGCTGACCAAGTAAGGCAGGTCTACTACAACATACCAGATCCTGTGTCTTCATGACCTCTTTAGCCATTTTTGCTGATGAAACTAATATGGTTGGCACCGAACCAAGACGCAAGGAGATGAGGGGGCCATACTTTTGAGAGAGTTTCCACACTTTCTTAGGGTTTGAACCATCAAACTGGTGCAAATTGCCGAGTAAGGGAAGACCCCGAGGGGCAGGTGGCAAACGAATACTTTTGGGGGTTTTTTTTCTTTGGAGAAGAAAGAAGAGGAAGATAGGAAGAAAGAGAAGGATGATTAGCAATTCCATTGTGTTGTATGTTTCAATCATACAGCAAATGCAAAACCAGAACCTCAATAAATAGACTTCAGAGTTGATCAACAATTAGACTTTAATGTATTTCATCAATATTAAAAGCTGTTAGGTCAAATTATTTCAATCTTACTATTGGTGTTTTATATTTTTATCAATAAAAAATTGTTATCAAATTCAACGTATCTATAGTACAATTATTTCAATGTGTGAATTTTAATATGTTTTAATTTGTGGAAACTTTATCAAATAGTTATAATATCATGCTTCTACTACTGTTTCAAGTTATTAATGTGTAAATTAAAACCCTTCCAGAAAAAAAATATTTACATATGTTTGGCCAAAAGGGCTTCAATTTTCAATCAAATGGAGCAATAGCTGGACAGGCTCCTTTGGTTTAGCCACGTCTCTTAAAATCACCATCTCCAGGCTTCAACTCAAATTATTTACGAAAAATTTTCAGTATAATAAAGGAATTGTCATCTGACTACGAGATTAATTAATGACTATGATCATTAAATATTTATTATTTATACATTAATTAATTTCAAATCAACTCGTTGCCGTCGGATTTGCCACCACGCGGTGATATACTTGCCAACTTCAATATTGAGCGTACAGCATACAAATAATAATGTGTTTTACGGATAGAAAATAAAGGGCTAATATCATCCAAAGCAAAGGGCCCAATTTAACACTTTTTTTTTTTTTGGTGTCAAACGAAACGAAATGTAGTATTAGGTAATGCATCAGTTCCAACTTTTTACCATATCTTTATAGAAAGACAATAAAATTTCATTGGAAGAGAAGAATAAATTATTAGACACTTTGACAATGGGAATGGAATTTTTTGTCTTGTTCAATGCTGTCAAGTAACGGATTAAAGCCGTGGAAAATTAGCTTTAAAATGATTTTATCGAATGATTAATGATAAGGTATATAGAGATGTGCAAAATATTTCTAGATTTTAGCTTTCACACGCAACAATAGACGCTAGTAGAATAAGATAATGCTGATCTGATAGGCAAAGCTGAAATGCTTTGTCATTGATACTGACTATGATTGCTTACAAAGACTTGGGCTGCTGATTGTACAATACTAATTCTTAGATTCACTCACATACCCCTTCAAGCTTAATTGCCTAGGATATAAATTAAGTTTGCTGCTTAAGAATTCAAAATGTTCAACTGTAAGAGGCTTGGAAAAGGTTGACAGAATCTTTACTGGATTTTCCGGCTAAATGTCTTTGTTGTCGGCAGCTTCTCCATTTCCATCGTTATATAAATCAGACGACAATCTATCCAAGGGAGTCGATAGTGATGCTAGACTCATTATTGGCGATGACCAGTATTATTGTTGTCGGCAGCTCAACGGTGATACGCTAACCGTTTTGTTCTATTAGAATTATTTTAATAATTTTTATATTTATAAAATTATTTTTTGACAACTTTTTTCGTTTAAAAGTTTGGGTTATTGCAGATAAAATGGGTGGGGGGTATGAGATTAATTTTGGTTTAATAGTGCAGAGTTCTGCACACTTTTAATATTGTCCTCTCCTTCTAACCCAGCCAAACAGGGTTTAGTTTTAAAATAGTCGTCATAATCCCTTTAATGCAGTCCAATCCCGTGAACCAAACCTACTCTAAGCATACAAAAAAAAAAAAACTTTATTTCATTAATTACATAGACGCTAGCATCTACATAAAACAATTAAGAAAAACATTATTATAAGCATCGAATTGCAATCTACTACTGGTGGAAGGTTCAGGAGCAACATTGTTTTAACATAAAGTATGACAAATCTATGAGCTATTATATCCAAGGATTTTCGGTGGTTAGAATTCAATACAACTTGCATAATTAATATACTTTTAAAATACTATAATTAAAATGTGATCTCAACTATTCAAATGTTTTAATCCAAGGGCTCAAAAATTATGTTTAAGAAATGGGACTTCTTCAGTCCATTAATGGAAATGAAAGCAGCTCATCAACAAATTACGCCTGTAAAGGAAACGCCAAGTGTTCTGCATCTGACGATGACAATTCTGGGTATCTTTGCGAGTGCAAAAGTGGTTACCGAGGGACCCCCTACTCTCCAATGGTTGCCAAGATACTTTTCTCTAGATGAAATAAATTGCATTTTAATTCTAAATCTAAATCGTTTTTCTAAAGTGATAAACTTTCTTTCAATGGATTTTCAAGACATTAATGAATGCGAGTATCTGGAACTTCAAAACTGCACACATACATGCGTCAACGAAATAGGGAGTTATAGATGTGAGTGCCTCAAGGGCCACCACTGGAACGCAAGAGGTGATAGAAAAGGTTGTGAACCCAATCAATTTCCAGTCGTCAAGGTCTCTACTGGTAAGTTTCTGTACTGTATTACTATACATAGAAGATGCATTATTATGATAACTGATGCAATAGTTATGTATGTTGCATTACATGCTATAATTCATGTGTATTCAAGACTTCTTTTGTAGAAATTACTTTGAAGTAAAGTAGTGGTTAAGTTAAGCATATTAATTATTTTCTGATTAGGAAAAAAACTTGTAAGTATTAGATGCACAAAAGAGCATTTACATTATTATTTAATTAATAAAAGTCTCTAAAAAAATTACTGATAATTAATTTTCTTAAAAAGTAGTAATCTTTATATGTTACAAAATCTTGACCGTTGATTAATATTAAGTTAAAATTAATCAATGATCAGAATTTTATCACGTCATTCAGTGTACAAATTCGGGTGTACTACCATCGATAACTGTATTATTTTCCATAAAACAATAGCTGGACAGGCTCCTTTGTTTTAGCCACGTCTCTTAAAATCACCATCTCCAGGCCTCAACTTAAATTATTTACGAAAAAATTCAGTATAATAAAGGATTTGTCATCTGACTCGAGATTAATAATAATTACGATCATAGATATTTATTAGTTATACATTAATTAATTTAAATCAACTCTTTGCCGTCGGATTGGCTACACTGGTGATACAGTTGCCAACTTCAATATTGGGCGTACAGTTTACAATAATAATAGTTTTTATATATGGAAAATATTAACCAATCAATTAATTTCAAGATCAGATTTCAGACTAATTTAAAAATGTTGTCGATAACAATGAGTGTGTATTTAATTTATAATGAAATGGACAAATTAAAGTAATTTCATTGTTCTTCTTTTGGGGAAGATTTTTTCTAATTAATTATACTCGTAATTTTTCATATATAAAGAAAAATGAATGATATTGTTGTGAATAAGAATAACAATACCTATTAAAACTTTATATGAGATATCATACAAAGTAAGTGATATTACGCTTATATTGCTAACACATTACTTTGTAGGAAATTCTTATCGTAAGTTCAGTATTATTCTAAAAATAATAGATTATATAGGTTGTTGGACGATGGAATAAATAGACAAACCCTAATGGCTGGGCAATAATAATCAACATATCTTTATAAAAGGAAGCGTATTAGGTAATACATCAGTTCCAATTTTTGACCATATCTTTATAGAAAGAAAATAAAATGTCATTGGCAGAGAAGAATAAGTAATGGACAATTTGACAATGGGAATGGAAATTTTTTGCATGTACATGCTGTCAAGAAACGGATTAGAGCAGTTGAAAAGTTTGTAAAAGGCGCATGATAATAGAGAAAAGCTGGATTCCTTTGATTTATTGAGTAATTAATGAGAAAATACATACAGATGTGCAAATTATTCTTATAATATCATATAACAAAATATCTTTCTTGAATTGTTTCACACGCAACATAGACGCGAAATGATTTGCCATTGATGCTGACTTGGGTTGCAACAAAGACTTTGGCTGCTGATTGTACAAATCTTTTTCTTTGATCCACTCAAACTCATCACCCTTCAAGCTTAATTGCCTAGGATATAAGTTTGCTTCTTAGAATCAAAATGTTCAGCTGTAAGAGGCTTGGAAAAGATTGACATATCTTTACTGGATTCGGCAAAATATTGTTGTCGACAGCTTTTCCGTTTCCACCGTTATATAAATCAGACAACAATCTATTAATGTGTGCGTTGATGATGATAGATTCACTGTTGGCGATGGCCACATTATTATTGTCAGTGACTCAACGGTGACATGCGACCGTTTTATTCTATTAGTATTATTTAAATAATTTTAATATTTACAAAAATATATTTTTTTTTTTGAAAAGTTTGGTTATTGCAGTTGCAGATAAAACCCGTGGGAGGTATGTGATTAATTTGGTTTAATAGTGCAGAGTTCTCCCTACTTCTAATATTGTCCTCTCTCCTCCAAGTCCAACCAGCTAAACAGGGTTTAGTTTTAAAATAGCCTCATAATCCCTTAATGCAATCCAACCCGAGAACCAAACATACTCTATGCGCCAAAAAAAAAAAAAAATTGAAAAAAAAAAAAAAAACAACTTTATTCATTATCATTAATAATATAGACATTAGCATCTACATAAACAACTAAGAAGATCATTATTATAGACATTGAATTGTAGTCCAGTGCTATTGGAAGGTTTAGAAGCACCACTATTTTGAATAAATTAAATATGACACAATTAGAGCTATTATATCAAGGATTTGGGTGGTTGAAATTCAATATAACTTGCATAATTAATGTATTTTGAAAATACTGTAATTAAGATGTAATCTTAACTATCAAATATTTTAATCTAAGGCTCAAAAAGAGTAATACTACACTTATAAAAACTCTATACAAAGTCTTTCATACAAAGTGACGTGTGAAAATATGATGAATGAATTAATATAAAAATCAACTTAATAAATACATATTAAATGATAGTGAATTTTTTTTATATTAATTCATCAAAATGTTGAATAATTTTTTCTAAATACGGAATGACAAACTAAAGGGATCAAAAAATTAAAGAAAAAAACAAGAAAGTTACCTCCAGCCCTTGATGCCTCAATCACACCACATTTTCTCTCGCGTTCTGGCTCTTCTAAGCTCTCAGAACACTCAATATAATAATGTATTTGTTTGAGTTGAGTGTA